TGCATTTCCGGATCCAATGGATCCCAACGATAGATAAATCAGTTTTCCGGATCTATTCTTAAGGCTTTCCGGGATTTCAAACGTGTCTTCATTTTCGGTTCGTTTAAAATTATCAAATCCATGGAAAGTGTCGGGAAGTGGTCTGATGTCCGTATAATCCAGTTCTTTAGGTGTCATATAAATGTTAGCGTATGGGGAAGGGGTCCAGATTAAGAATTCCTCAAGTTTGGGACATCCCATGGAAACCAATTGATCCCTATATTTATACCACTTTTCACGACTTCTTTCCCAAACTTGTTGTCTGTATTTCTCCTTCACTTCTGTCCCACTATTTGTCGGCAATCCTTATAAACAACAGAATATTTAATAATAATATTATTTTGAATACTTTTCTGATATTTTGAATTATATGTAATATATGTATACCTAAGAATGCTGGTGGAAGTATATTATCCAGGTAACCGTAGTTTAAGTACAATGGATTAGCACTGCAACTGAATATCCAGGGTATGCCTGATGTGTATATAGAAGGTAATTGAATGAGCAGGTCACTTATTATGACATCAGGTTTCAGGTCCTCTATAATAGCCTTAACCAATGGATCCGTTTCTATAATCTCTTTGAGACCCAAGTTTACGGCCCAATCATTACTACGAATAGCGTTTTCCAATGGAGTGATGTTTTCTATGAGGCCCGACGCCTCAATCTCTTTATAATTACTTTCAGCCGATCCCATCCGATTAGTGGTCGCATCCCTGTCCACCGGCTGTCCAATAAGTCTCACCTCAAAGCCAATGGACTCGAGCCGTGACTTCCAATCGTTGTTAACCGCAAACACACAGTGGTATCGACCGGTGTCTCGCAATACCTCAGCCAAACCTATACTGGGATTCACAGCGCCCACAAACTGAGCAGGGGTAAATAGCACGGTTTTATTAGGCATCACTTAAGAATTATTATAATTCAAACTTGTCCGAGTTATATACAGTTTGCATTACATGCAAATCTTTTTATAGTTTTATTATTACGGACTACTAATTACTTATCAGATATTATGTCATTTACTAAATTCTGAGTGCATTAGTAACTGTTTGTTATTAAATGCTTTAGCTTATCATATGTTATGTACTGTACCGGTATTTAATTAATCTCTTAACTTTTTACGATATATGCTCATTGGGATAGTCGATATTAAGCGAAACATGTACATTTCAATCATATACTACGTGCTAAAGGTTATAATATGTACTATCGATAATTTTCCCAATGAGCGCCTATCGTACAAATTTAAGAGTAGTATTGACAGTGATTTTCATATTGACACTTAAGTGACAACTAGCCTTGTAACAACTTTACATTTTAAAGAATTTGATTCAAAGTTAGTTATTTTATTTTGATCGAAAGAGTGCTTATTATATTATTTATAATTATGAGAAAACATATCTCACTTAAGTTGATCTGTGTTACATTACATACTTGACAATAGTTCTCTGATTATATAAAATAAAATGAATATTCACAAATACTGTACTATTAAAACTTAAATAAATATATTTTGCTTAAGACAATTAAATTATAATCATACTTACTTATACTCATATTTATACTTTGTTAGTATATGAATTTAATACATATTAAATTGCAGTTTTATATGGAAAATGATATAAATTGTTGTTAGATATTTGTAGTTTGAAAATTTTATTTAATATTTAATTAAGTCATGTATTTATATTATATGAAATGATATAATATTTTATTTTTAACATAATTTTATGAAAAATTAACTTTAATTATAGCAGATTTTCAAATACTTGGCATTATAATATCAAGTATTAACCTTTCCCTTGATACTTGACGAGACCCTCAAATACTTGAAAGTCGAGGTGAAATACTTGACAATTACAGACTAAGGGCAGTCTAATTACAGACCCTAATACACAATTCATAAAGTGGTGTTTCTTAATATTTTTAAAAATTTTATTTTACGATATATTTTATGCAAAATGTCAGATAATATAGTAATTAATTATGAAATATTATATATTATTAAAAATTAGGTTACAATTATTTAACTAATTTTTCGACTATTTTGACCATTTTTTCGATATTCTTTTCGCTTTGAATTCTTTGCGACACTTTTGCCAACTTTTTGGCCAATATTTTGTCGTTTAATAGCCTTTCGATTGAATCCAATAATTCATTTTCAGAGCACTCGTAGGGATTGAGTCTAATCCCAAACCCTTTCTCTTGAATTCTCTGTGC